CTCCTTCTCGTCTTTCTCCTACTTTCTCTACTTCTTGTGCAATTTTCTCCTCCTCCTCCTCCTCCTCTTCTCCTAATTCTTCTTAATCCTCTTCCACCTCCTCCATCTGAATTCCCCTTCGTCATCTCAACTGCAGTATTTTAAACGCGTTTCTTCTTGTCATCGCACCTTGCACTTTCGTCTAAATGGAGGAGACACTTTCTCCATAATGCTATTATTAAATAACTGGTAAAAAAAAAGATAAAAAGGATAGTGGAATTCCCAGATGAGAAAAAATAGTGCTCATCATACTCGTCTGCTAATGTAAGTACACAAATAGATATCATTCCATCAAAAAAAAAAAAAAAAAAAAAAAAAATAAAGTAATATCTACTCGCCAATGCACATTATGCAGAAAACTGGTCGGTTACATACGTAGTTAGACTTTGTAGTTTTCTTGTTTCCATTATTGCAAGCGTCACTCGTGGTTCTCATGAGTCGATCTCTGACGCAGCGAATTTAATACAGGGTCAGGCAGGTTGGCGGGTCAGGTACTGCAGACACACCATTCAGGCTAGACCTTCAGGCTCGCTCTCTTTCTTTGTAGCGTCTCTTCTCTCTCTCGCTCTCTTTCTCCTCTCTCTCTCTCTCTCTCTCTCTCTCTCTCTCTCTCTCTCTCTCTCCCATCTATCTATCCTATCTATCTATCTATCTGTCCTATTTATCTCATCTATATATGTCTGTGGATGGTGTGTGTCTGTATGTGTCGCTCTTTTCGTCTCAATTTTGGATCTCTTCTCACGCTCTTGCTCCTTTCTCTTTCTTTCTTCTTATATGTACTAAGTTTTGTATGTTAATTTCTTCTCTGACCATTTGCCTTTCTTTGCTCTCTGTCTGGTTTTTCTTTTTTTGGTATTTCTATTTTTCTCTCCTCCCTCTCAATTTTAAAACATTCTCTCTCTCTCTCTTTCTCTCTCTCTCTCTCTTCTCTCTCCTCTCTCTCTCTCTCTCTCTCTCCTCTCTCTCTCTCTCTCTCTCTCTCTCTCTCCTCTCCCCTCTCTCTCTCTATTTTAAACTTCTCTCTCTCTCTCTCTCTCTATTTTAACACATTCTCTCTCTCTCTCTCTCTCTCTCTCTCTCTCTCTCTCTCTCTCTCTCTCTCTCTCTCTCTCCTCTCTCTCTCTCTCTCTCTCTCTCTCTCTCTCTCTCTCTCTCTGCTCTCCTCTCTCTCTCTCTCTCTCTCTCTGCTCTCGCTCTCTCTCTCGCTTTCACACCGCCACATTAAGTGTTTATTCAAATTTTACTAATCTATACATTGATTTATTTCGTCAGTTTAAGTTTTTTTGCTAATGAGGAGAATGTTAATTTATCAATTATATCTAAGTAATCACAAACTGATAAGTCTTGGAGGATTTTATCGTGGTAGAATGGCTTTTCATTACAAGGTCAACGTATATATACATATACATACAAACATGCATATTTATATAAATAAATGCATTTATATATGTGTGCGTGTGTGTGTATGTGTGTGTATATATGTATATCATATTATAACATATATAGTTACATACATACATACATTATACTATAATATATATATATATATATTATATATAATATATATATATATATATATATATATGTATATACATGTACACCACAGCACATATGTGTATGTATATATATGTGTGTGTATGTTGTGATGTGTGTGTGTGTCGTGTGTGTGTGTGTGTGTGTGTGTGTGTGTGTGTGTGTGTGCCGTGTGTGTGTGTGTGTGTGTTGTGTGTGTGTGTGTGTGTGTGTGCGGTATCGCGCCCAAATACACGCGCAAATACAGCATAGCGTGTTGCAGGAGGCAGAAAAGCACACGCAGGCGCAGGAGCCTCGGCCAGACGCGGCAGGTGAGTCTGACCAAAAGTCAGCCTGATGCAACATATCCCGGGCGTTGCGTGGCGCCGCATCCTCCCTCTCGCCTCTCCTCTTTCTGTTCCTCTCGCTCGCTCGCTGGTGCTTCTCTTATCTTTTTTTTCGCTCGCTGGTTCTTTTATCTCGCTTTTTTTTTTTTTGGCTTTCTTTTTTGTCTTCGTGTCCTGTCTGTCTGTCTGGTTTTTGTCTCTTTCTCTCTCTTTTCTCTCGCTCTCTCTCTCTGCTGCTCTCTCTTCTTCTCTTCTCTCTCTTCTCCTCTCTCTCTCCTCTCTTTCCAGTGTCTGTGCTGTCTGTCTTTTCTCCTCTTTCTTCTCTCTCTCTTCGTCTCTTTTCCGCTCAGTCAGTCTGTCTGTTTGTCTCTTTTCTCTCTTTCTTCTGCTGCTTCTCACTGTCTCTTCTTTCTCTGTGTCTGTCTGTCTCATGTCAAATCTTTCTCTTCTTACGTTCTCTCTCTCTCTCTCTCCTACTCTCATCTCTTCTCTCTCTCTCTCTCTCTCTCTCTCTCTCTCTCTCTCTCTCTCCTATCTCTCTCTCTATCTCTCTCTTGCTCTCTTTCTGCTGCGCTCTGCTGTCCAACGATATGGTCACAGTT